CTGTGGAGCTTAGGCTCATGGGACCGTGCACAGTCCATCCGAGCGACGTCTCGATGGCCTTGATATTGCCGTTGAGTTTCGTGACTTGTCCAGTTACAAAATCCCAATAATGTTCAGCGCCGATTAAAATGTCAATATGGTTGGAATTGTCGTCGTTAGCGATAACCGCGATCGCATAATTCAGCTGACGTAACTCCTGTATGACGTTGTTATCCGGTTGTGGCAGTCGTTGATCGCAAATTATGCTGGTTTCAAGAGCCTCAAGGTGGTAAGTAAGTCCATCGTGTTTGCTTTGCAGAGTAATGAAGACCCTTCGAAAGTTCTTCTCCTGGTTATGTCCACCGAAATACCCTACTGCAAGTCGTTCGCTTCCCACAACCTTGCAGCCCAGTCTCCGAGATAAGTCTTCGGTTATAAAGGATCTCTGGCTACCGCCGTCAAACAATACTCTAGCCATCGCTTTGTTTTTGGTTCCAGAAGCCCACGCTTCGGCCGTTTGTAACAGCACTATCCTTTGGTCCGAAGTCTCAGTCGTTGATTTTAGCTGTAACGGAGCTGTGCCAGCGACATTCTTTTGTCCGCCGTTCTTAAATTTGGGGTAGCACATCGTGGAAGCGTGTCGGCCTCGGCAGTGCCTACATGTGATTCTTCTTCGGCAGTTCTTAGACATGTGGTTCACAAGGGTGCAGCGGAAACATCTGCCGTGTTTCTGTAGCATCGTCTTCTTTTGTTCCAGTGAAACTGTCGAGGTGCACTCTTCCGTCTTGTGTTCTTTAGATTTGCAAATGAAGCACGGTGTTCTGAGATCCGTTTGTTGAAGTAGTGCAGACGATGATGGTTTAAAATTGTTCTGCTTATCAGGATACCTTTTACCTCCTGCCAGTGCATTCGTCTTTTTTGTCAGAGGGTGCTCCAATCTCGCAGGAGTATACGTTTGTTCTCGACTTTCGATTTCTACCTTCAAGGCTTGGAGTAACGATGTTAGCGCTGCAGGCTGTTCTCTAGGAACTCGCGCTCGCGCTCCTTCCTCATTTTGTTCTTGGGCGTTCCCTTCCTGTCGAATCGCCTCTCTGTTATAGTGAAGCATTATCTCTGAAGGAAGGAGTCTCACGAGGAGATGATGTAGCATCGAAGAGTAAGATTCTTCACTCACCCCGAGAGACTTTAGTCCACGTACATGGGCCTGCACATTATCGTAAAGACCTCGAAGTCCACGTACGTCTTGTGCAGAAGGTACCGGGTTAAGGTCAAGTAGCTTTTCCATATGATCTTGTATGAGCCGTTTCTCGTTGCCGAATCGGCTAATAAGGATGTCTACTGCATCCTTGTAGCAGATGGACGTTGATGGGAGTCCGACGATGGCTGCAGCGGCTTCTCCCGTTAGCGAAGTTCTCAAGTAATTGAACTTGTCGCAAGCTGTTAGTGCCTCGTTGTGATGAACCGCTTGCTGAAATTGCTCCCAAAACGGTTGCCATTGTCGTTGTTGGCCGTTAAACTTGAGAAGCTCCAGTTTTGGAAGCTTTACCTTTAAGGTACTCGTCGGTTCTCCAATTCTTGCACTGTTTCCAGGGTTTGTTGTTTCGGTTGGGGTTCGTTGTTGTAGAGTTCGGATTGAGTAGTCCAACTGAGCCAGGTAGGTGACGGCGCGGTCGTTGTACTCGAATGCCCGGGTGTATTCTTGTTCCGCGTCGTCCCCCAGGAAAGGCTCGATGGCGACATCTGTTTCGGTCATTTGGGTATGCAGACTACCCAATCGTTGCCTGAGGATTTCGATGTCCCGTTCGATGATCGGATCACGTTGAAGAGCAGCGTCGATTTCTGGTATCAGCCTTGTCAGTTGGCTTCGTAGGGCCTTCCGTTTCAGTTTCAGACGATCCATGAGTAGTCGTCAGCCGTGGCTTGAATGGAACGTATCAGTAGTCCTGCGTTAGTTGCTGAAGATTCGGTAGTTCCCTCGTCCAGGTTCCTCTCGTTGCGTCTCGTTCCCGGGTTTCGGCACCATATAGAAGGACTTCTGGACGTTTTGGTGTTTAAATCGATAGCAACTTTATGTACACTATTTACAGTCAGAAAAGGGACATCGAAGCTATAGGCAGAAACGGTTGTAGCCGGCTCGTTCCCCCGCTGCTCGTGCTCATCTGGTGGTGCTCGAGCCTTGGCTTGTTCAGTCCGCTGTTTTGTCGTCTTCTAGACCGCCGTGGAAGTTTTTACATCGTATTTTAGGCGGCAAAGAAATAGAAATACCACTCCGTCATAGCCGATTCACGCAGGATACTCTCAACACTCAACTAAAAACGGCGTCGCGTACGTTATGTCAGGATATCGTTGGCGCGGCTCACCCCATTCGTTAAATATTGGCTAAACCAAAATGGTGTGGGCAGAATCTTTTCGAATAGATCCAATATCGGCGACATATGGTGTGTTGCCTGGGCTGTATATTTACACGTCTTCGGTCACCTTTTTGCGAGCAGAGGTGATTTTTTTTTAAATCGAAGTTGAACTGATAAAACTGATGCACGCGCGACACGTAATTTTCGGCTCCTCTCGGACGAAGAGTTCGATCGGAGTTGCAAAAAACATTCTCTAGCACTTCCTAATCATACGCGCCTTTCTGTGGCGATTAATTATATTCGATGTTGGTACCGCCGTACATCAGCAACCGTTTCATCAAAGCAATAAACATGAACGGTTATAAAATAATGGGTGTAATTGACAGTGTCAACATTACGCCCGTCTCACACCGTGTGAATGAAAAGTGTGTGGACGTCCGTAACCACTTGACCGGGGACGGAAGCATAGAGCACTGCTCATCGTCATTTGCGCTGGGTTTTTGGGCAAAAACTGGTAGGAATGATTGGCCTCTCCTCTGGCGTGAAGAAAAACGGCGTCGATGACAACCATATTGACCGAACAGAGGGGAAAGCGGATTTGTGTAAGATTAATGTGACGCGCATTCTTGCACGTTCTCGTTGATGTCCTGAAGTTTTGACGGGACGTCGGACCGATGCATCGCTACATAATTCCAAGCAATTTGAGCTACGTCTTGGTATTGCACAAAGTATAAAATCCACCGCTTAAAGCACATATTAGATAAAAATTCGAGCTTGCTAATGCAGGCGACATTTTTTTTTCCGACTCATTTCATAGCTAGCTCCTCGATTTGGGGCGCATGCTGCTATACCGCGATGACGATCAATCGATGTCACGATGTCCTTACCGGTTCCTCGCGTAGACAAGGGTTCCTTCGACGTGATTAACTCCGACTCCTTGAAATCATATAAGTCCATCACACCCTTTCTACACTTTATGAACGGGCAGTGTTGCGACGAGTGCCTACACCCTTCTAACACGATTTCCTGAGCATATTTCAAATTGTGGGTGTGATAGGGGTGTAAGAGGGGTGTATGTAGGGTGTAAGCCTTCTCGTACACTTATGTTACACCCACCAATACTCAAAATCGTGTAAAAAGGGTGTAGGAAGGGTGTTGGTTAAAAAAACACCCTTTAAACACGATTTTGGGTGTTAAAATATTTACTGTGTAGTGGATTTAGGTTAGTCATCCAAAACGACCAGGGGAATGGTCGTTTTGACACGCCTGCGACCGCTTACAATGCTTGAACACAGTGGCGTCGTCTACCGGGCAGTCCTGGATACCTCCCAGTCTTCCTACAGTTTTGGGTGTTATCCTTAGGCATTACTGTATTATCACGGATGAAAAAGTAGGTTCATTTAAAAACTGAAAATAAATGTACAATAAGATGAACTCGCACCCCTAACGAAAGCAAAAAGAACAGCGTCCATCCCGAGACGGCGACAAGAGACCAATGACCCAATGTTGCCAAATTCACCTTCTTTTGTACATAGTCTGTATTCTAAAACATTCCGAACATGAACGAGCGATACGTTACAAGATGAGAACGTTATAGAAAAGACGACAAAGATAAAATGAGAAATTCGGCTAGTGGGGCCCTGGTCCAGTGCCTTCCCGTGGGAGACGCGCGCGATGCCAACTCGGTCGTGAAAATGTCAATAGAAATCAGTTGAGTAAACGTAGCCCTGGAGAGCTGCTCTCACCTTCCCTAGCAGAAAGTGAGATGCCGCTATTAAAGCACACGATTGTTTAATCTCACTTTTACGTGTCATCAATGCTATTCAGTGTATGGAATCGCACTTTTTTTTTAATCGGAGCGACGAGGGTTTTGAGGAAGCCATTTGTCGAAAACCGCTGGTGTATTCTTCCGCGTCTCCAACGGGCCGGTTTCGTGATATTTGCTTGTCTCGTTAGCCGCGGCGTTTATGTGTGGCCGGCATGTGACGTCATATTACATACTTATTTTCGTGCAGTGATGCAGAAGTCACGTGCTCAGCAAGCAATGGCCACCAGAATGGCCGCTGATGTGATGCAAGTGGAAGCCATGTTTAGAATCCACCGCGAAGAGCAAACCGCTAAGGTTTTTTTTTTTTTTTTTTTTTGACACGCTTCAATCGGCCCTTTTCAAAAAATAGTTTACCTTCCATGTTCAGAGCCAAACTCGACGCTCTAATGGCGGCGCTACGCAGCTTCCGCGCCCTTGGAGAAGCGAGCGCCTTTGAAAGCATGTCGCAAAGAAGAGGAGAATCCATTCTGACAAGTTGGTCCTCGTATGTGGCCTTTGATTCATAAAGTCGGGAGTGTTTGAAGGTAGACGATCTTGATCTTCTATCACAGTCATTAGTGCGGAGAAATTGGAGCTATTGAGACTGCCACGAGATGGCTCTGACATTTGAAAAGGGTGAGTTGCGTTGTTAATGCTCGTTTCGTGAAAAAAGCTGTCTTTAACAACATAATAAATGCAACTTCCTGTTTACGACATTTGACTTATTGTTTTCAATATCTCGTATTTTGTGTAAAATTTTAAAGGGCACTTATCCTTTTCACCCTTTAAAAAGGTTCCTGACATAGCCATTCTTACATTTCCAAGTGTTTTTCTTTCCTTTACGCACGTTTTTGCGACGGAAAATGTATTCGGCTACACTCATTGTTTTCAGCGTTGCTACTGCTCACGCCGGTGATGTATTGATTCTATTTACGAAGACGCTTCTGCATGGCGTTTTTCTTAGTGACGTAATATCGAATTTTACTTTTCTCCTGTGCTTAAACCTCCGAGCTTTTGGGCACGATAAACAGTTATCATGGAAATTCCGCACACAATATTGCAGACGAGAAATAATTTGTATTACGGAATCCACCATACCCCCGAAAGGCGCAGGGTTTAAATAGGCTTGGGTAGACATACTGCATTGATTGTATTCATAGATTCCGTCAGAGTCGCTGACAAATAAGACGCGCAGGGTGTGGCTTAATAATATAACCTTGATTCTTGCTTCGTGATTGCTTCTTCTGTGTTCTTATCCTCTAATGCTTCAATCCTACTGGATGAGAAGAAATAATGAGATGCTCGTCAGTCAACCGGCCCTTCACTTAGGTTGTGAATGATTGAAGGAGCGGCCTCTTATAAATATATGCCACTATATCTTCCGATAACCAGGAGGGGTTAATTCGGATACTTAAATACGTTGGTATTCTAACGGCTGTATCAAGTAGTGGCCAGGCTATTTAAATCGACTGCAAAATTCGGTTTCTTAACCCATCGCGCTACGACTTTGTGCAGCGTTGCCCACAGGCGGCGCAAATTTTTCTATAAACTTTGCAAAGAGTGAACTTACCTGAGGAAAAAGTAAAGAAAGCAATAGTCTTAATTCCCGTGGAAACCCAGCGAAGCCACCGTTCCTCAATCAATCGGGCGCCCAGGTGTTTGAAGTCTGGTGACTTCACTACGTTTCCATAGGAGTTCAGCCTTTTTTTTTTTTACAATTTCCTCAGGTAAGTTCGCTCTTTGCAAATTTTATAGATCAAATGCACCACCTGTGAGCAAAGCTGCAGAACATCGTAGCACCATTGGTTAAGAAACGGAATATTGCGGTCGATTTACAGAGTCTGCCCGCTACTTGATGCACCCGGTACTACATCCAAATGTCTTCAAAAACACAAGCAAAATAAAATTGCGACTAGGTTAACGCAAATCTAGTGATTATATTTTTTATAGCTCTGGCACGTAATTCTTGTACTTTTAACCAAATATGGTAATTATTTTTCTTTTTTTTATATAGATTTGTCAAAGCAACTTAGCTTAAGCAGTGTTCTTCAGTACTGCTGGCTCCAAAAAATGATTTGGAACCAGCAGTACGTAAGCCACGTTCCGCGTTCTAAAAAAGTTGTCCGTCTTTTTACGCACTTCGTCGTCATATAAATTCCATGCCGTCGGCCAGGATCCTGGCGGTGTTGCATCGGTGGTGGTAGGAGCCAAAAGTACGAGCTTTCCATTGTAATTTTGACCGTGAATTCTAGCACCAAGCGCAAGGGTTGCAACATCCGAGAGCATGACGCTTTGGCCCCTGTGAGGTCGTTTGTGGACACTTCGGGATTACCTTTAAGGTATGGATGCGATAGGATCTTTAACACACCAGTCACAGACGAGCTCTAAAGGCATCGTACTCCACAGTTCAGCCAGCCAAAGGGCGTCACAAATAGGTAGAAAGCGACACCGAGGTCATCATACCGGAGGCAGTTGTTCGCGCATTCAAAGTCTGAGGTACGTCAGGTCTACGTAAAGACCATGCACTTGGTTCCTAAAATTATACCTAGAAATTAAGCGAGGATGCAGATGTAGCTTATTAATGCGGAACGCAATTGCATTGTACGTGCACTGAATGCACAATCACGTAATGCTCGTGTTTTGCCGAGTTCCGAACTGCCACAAATCCTTTCACGTTGTTGGGCAATAGAGAAAATTACTCTTCGCGCTTTTCTTAGCCTCTGTTTGTTCAGATTATGTGTACAATCGGAGTTACCAAATGGATGTGACCGTCCCAAAACGATGTTTCATTCATCATGGCGCCGTACGATTAGAGCGCCGAAGAGCGAAAAGTTTGACAGATCTCCGAAAGGTTTTTGCAAGAACAGGAACGTAGGCGTGGTATTGAAGGTTAAGATTATAACCATCAATATTAAAAAAACTTGGCAACAACAAGGTAATCTAAATTCTTCAGCTCCTTTGTTTTATGTGGTATGGCACTCTTATAGCATTTTGAAGTCTAGGGAAGTAGGATATCTTCTCATAAGCTGCATATTAAGAAATGCATATAAAAGAATAACTAGTGATAACGAAGCACGACTGGAAGATGCCCTCCCTCCCCCCCCCCCCACCCCCCCTTCCCCGATTTTCCGAATTTGTTCCGTTCGAACTATTCACATAAGTACAGGCTTGCTTCCCGTGGTTCGCTTTTATTCCATTACATTTCCAACGTCTTGTCATTGCAGAAGAGCTTTCTTATTTATGTTGAGTTGATTCTAATTTGTTTGTGAAAGAGAACTTTGCTACGAGATTTATTAAAAATTTATTTTATTAGAAAAACACCGTGACTTGTGACCAACGTTTCGTTTCGTCCTCTGTACCGAGAAGTTCCCTGCAAGTTTGGAACGGTGGGATAACAGGAGCAGTTACGTTCCAGGTGTCGTGTATCCGGTTCTGATTGAAAGCAGAAGCGGCAACTCAAGAGGCGCTGTTCAATTTTCTAAAGACTACGTCATAGACTTGGAAGAATCCAGTGTTTTAGGGGACCGTCTGTATTTTTCCGAGGCTAGGGATGGAGAGGTGAATCACGAATTGGTAAGGAAAGATTACCTTTCACAAGAAAGCATGCTTCCACCTCATTGATTGAAATTCACTTAATTTAATTAGAAAATAAACATTCTACCTGTTTATTCACTCAAAAGTTATTTGATGTGTCCGCTAGTGCCTTTGGAAGTTTTCGTACATTTGAAAGTGCCATTCAAGCAGAATTGTCTTCGCTATTAATAACGCAAATAACGCACATTTGTTTAAATGACGTGCCGTCTCCCACGATTTTGTTTTTTGGCATTCTTTGAGAACGTTTTTCTTCCTCGATGATTTATGCAACCATTCGCCCCGATATTCGTTCTGCGTCTTGTTGAAACTCATTGAACGTAATCATTTACTTAGTTTTTATAAAATGCCATTGTTTGCGAAAGAAAAAAAAAGCATGAGCAATTCCAGTCTGTGAAGGTCGAAGACCAGTGAAGCTGTTTAGCACACGACACAGACGTGTCAAAGAATTTTGAACAAAGGTACGACCAGATTTATTATCTTGATCGGTGGTCACCGTGACGAGCCGGAGGAAAAAAGACACCCGCGACGCGACCGCCACCCGGCGGAAAGTAGACACCCGCGACGGGACCGCCAATCCGGGACAGCGGAATGAACGGAAACTAGGCTCTCAAGCGCTTGGGGCGACTACGAGGAGAGGGCGGTGCGAGAGTAGACATAGCCGACGCGGGTCGCACAGAGCGAAATCTTTGAGAAGCCTTTATTATCTACCTGAGAGTCTACTGATCTCGAAAATGGAGCCCATTGATAACTAATCTACTGGAAATGCATATCCAAGTGTTGAGACAGGAGGTTCTGCATAAAATAAAGCAATTTTTCACCAAATTTCCAAACTGAGTTTTTGTTGACGCACACAAAAAATCCACGAAACCCTAGCCATAAATAGCTTGGCTATAAAAATAACCGTTTAGCATTTCAGCTGCTACTATTATGAAGATCACTTCGCAGTTATTTTACTCATATGTTGTTTTCAGATGGATACTACAGACATGCGTAATAGTGTTTATGAAAATTCGGAACACAAGGCTTCCTTTACAATTACTGAAACAAGTGTGGGAATCGAAATGGTATGTACAAATAGTTTTGAAGTATATATTCGTATAAGAACAATACATACGAGTATACAAATGTACAGGAGGTTATGCAATCATTATTTATAAATCCTGTATTTGTTAACTACATAGATTTTCGCGAACATTTTATAAACCTGCAGCGCTTTTTTAAGTTTCGAAAAAAAGAAGATGTATTAAGCATATTGGAAGTTCACATCGCCACAGCGTCTAAAGAACATTATTTATGAGAATTTTAAAATAAATATTTAGAATACTTTCTCCATATATTGCTTACAAACCAATTGAATTTTTAGGAAGGATGAAATGTTTGGTTAGCGATTCAAAAACAGTCTGCAACGGGCAATGCTTGCAATATTCAGAAATCTTTCACTTTTTTAACAGGAAGGATACCTAAACTTTACACACGGAATTGAGCCACTGCGAATACATGACAAATCCGGCCGAATCCCTCACAGAATATTTCCGCTCCCGACGCCTGAGGAACCGATACACTTGGAAAGTAAGTGACAGAATCAAACACTACACTAGATATTTGTTGAAAATTCTGCCTTTAAAGGCTAGACTTCTCGAAGCAAAAATGATTAGAAATGCTGAACGTACGACCGAATTCCTTCCTCCAGCGTTTTTTTTCGCCTGCGGTGTCAATTCTGGTACGCTCTCAGTTATTTGCCATTTATTATCTCGATGAATTAATTCCCCTCCCGTTTTTTCTCTAACAAAACATTCCCTTTAAAGCGTGGCGAAATGATCGCATTAATTAATTGTCACTGGAAAATGAAAAGAAGTGCTTGCAGAGGCCACGGCCCCTTAGTATTTCAGTTTTTTTTTACTTGCATCATTTCAACGGCTCCTGTATTAGTGATCTGAGTATGTAATCTGATGTTAAGAGTATTAAGTATCAGATTATGTATGATCTCAAATCGTACCAATAATTAGCACTTTCGCAGTTAACGGAAGGGGTCACTGGTTTGGCAGCCGGAAAAAAGTTATTATATCCTTATATTCAAGTTAACACAGCTTAAGTGCGTTCAAAGTTGCCGTTCACTTCTTCTTAAATAATTTAATTGGTAGCACTCAAGAGTTCCGAGCATATATGTTTCTACAAATAATTTTTAGGACGCGGAATATACTGGCAATTATAACGTCCGTTATATTTTTACTTAATTATACTTATTGTTTAGGTAACACGTCAAAGATATCACTTCGTCGCCTTTTCTTTCAAACGAAAAGAATTATTAACCCTATTTTGGCATGGTTCGGCTTTGAGGTGATGGCATTAAGGTAAACACATGGGCTGACATCGGATATTGTAATTATTTGTGAAAATTATCTTGAAGATATCTTAACGGCTAAAAACCGCAAAAACGGGCCAGCAAAAAAGAAAAAAACAAACAAAAACTAATTTACAGCAAAACACTAACTGTTCTTCTATACTTTTGCTGAAGAAGCATGCCTTTGAAAAGTTATAACCTTTGACTTCGACTACTTTTTATATTCAGTATCACTATTATGTTTACAGTTCCCTTAGAAGACCGTTCCGATGAAAGTCTACTGCCAAAAAGTAAGCTTATTTTGTTTTTATAACATTTAACATTCCTCAGCAGTCCCTTCAACCAATTATCCAAACACCAAGGAGCAGGCTGCAATTCCAGTTACATGCGCGGCATACATACTAGCTATTTTATAACTATGATGCAATTTTCTGTACACAGTAGAAACCCTAAGTTTTCTGCTTGAGGTTTTTGCTTTGAAATAATTCGGTAGACGTCAGCACGTGCTGCGCGAGTAACTGCAATTCGAGGCCGCACTTTGATGATATAATGAGTTTGAAAGCATTTAATTGGAGAGACTGTTTCACTATCTTGCACAAAAAACAAGACCAACTTATCTCGCATCGTGATTATTAAAAAAAAAAAGATTACAAGGTGAATTCTAAACTCGAGAAGCACTGAGGACATGCCATCATTTGAAACCTTCTAGGTGACACTGCAGAGCCACCCGCCGTGTGGCGACCTGAAATGTACGTCATGTTTGACAGTGTAATACACAAGTACCTGCAAGGAAACAAAGACCTACAGACTCGATACATCATAAGGCTAATGAACATGGTGCGTATGCTTTACATTTGTTCTTGTTCGGAAATAATTTAGTAATATCTGTTTTCATTGACCAAACAAAAAGTGCTTATTGAGGGTTTCGTGCTCCGATTACTGACACCCGTTCGAATGCCTTATTTTTTCCACGAAGGTGAATGCTATCTTCAAGACGGTTGGCAAGCCCCGAATAAACCTCCAGCTTGTTGGAATACTCGGATTTCCGGTGCGTATTGATTGTCCAACCCCCAAAGATTGGTATCTCTAAGTTTGAAAGTCTTGTTTTTGCCGCCAAGAGTGCAACACTATTGTAAACTCAAAACGTTTTAGAAGAAAATTGTTTTTTCTCAGTTAAAGTGGACTTTTTTAGTTGGAACCGTTTCGATCAGATTGCGCTTTGCCAAAGGGACTCGAGTGAGAGGAAAACAATAACTATTTGTTTAACTATAAATTATTCGATGCCAATGATTTAAGTCAGATTTATTTGCGTTATACCGTATTAAATTATATAACATCAGTATAGCCATGAACTAGTGCATTTGATCACTAGATGTATTTTTGAACATCACAGATTGACTAATAAATCCATCCTACCACTGAAAAAAATGCTGAAGAAATAATTACTGTAAATTAGAAGTAGGGTTTAAGTTACTTTTGTTTAGTAAACTATGTCTTTGTAGAACAAAAAAAAAAAAAAAACAGCTTAATATCGTGTGGCTGCGATATGCTCAGACGACTGCTTTATGCTTGATTTCAGTGCGTTATGAGATTTTTGTTTTCTTCAGCGATTAATTGACTTAAAAAGAAAACAATGAATATACAATGCATCGCATGATAGAAAAATGGTAAATTATGAAACTATTTTGGGATTAGTTTTGTTGAAATGCTTTTATTCAATTTATTGTAGTGAAGCAGGTATAAATCAAAGCACTATAAAAATCATAATAGAAATCACGATTTAAATCGTCCTGAATTTATTCACCACCATGCTGTTAACCCTCATGTTTTCTGGGTTGGAAGAATATTGTGTAGATGGTTGAGCGTGTTGGTTATTAATTCACGATAAGGAAAGAGGGGCATTTAAGACAAACAGACAAAGCCTGTCTTGTCTGTTTGTCTTAAATGTCCCTCTTTCCTTATCGTGAAAGAATATTGTATTGGTCAGCTTGATACAATGTTTTGTTTTCGATATGATAGTGCTGCAGAGCAGGTTTACACTATTGTGCCGGATGCAAAAATATATTCAGTTTAGTGATTTTTATTATAGGTAAATGATGAAAATATTATTAGTTATTATATAAACTACCATACGTTTAGCAATTCGTGTGAAATGACAACGGACATGGCAGTAAAACAGATAAAAATATCCGCAAATTATTTACCGTTCCCACTTAGACGACTTTTTTTCCTGAATTCATGTGTTGGTCACGTGTCAAAAATTCACGGGACGTCATTTCTTCTGCTAAATTTAGCGGAGGAACTGAATAGGTGTTGAGGTCACGTGGCGTCAATTTTACTGCTAAATCTAGCAGACAAATTAAAATTTCGTTTAGGTCACGTGACCAAGTCAGATGACGTCACTTTTTCCGCCATATTTAGCGGAGAAACAATATTTTTTTCTAGGTTGCGTGACATGAAGTAATGTAACGTAATTTCCCCGCGAAATTCAGAGGGGAAATAGCAGAGGTCAAGCAAAAGTCGGGACTCGGAATTCAGTTGTTCTGTTTTCTGAGTTGCATCGTGGGCGCGGCAGCAGTATTGTAGGCGTTACCGAAAAAAAGTAACAAAATACGTTAATCAGCACAGCAGATGATATCAAGGCCATACCAATCATAGCTGTCGCCCGTCTTTTGTGTTCTCCTCTACAGCATATATGTAACATTGCATTAGTAACTACTACTTTTCCCCACGGCATGAAAATTCCAAGAGCTGCTGTTTTGCACAAAGCCCTGGTTCTGTTGACAACATTAAAAACTGTAGGCTCAGATCCGTACTTCCTTTGGTTTTGAAAGTATTAGAACATCAGATAAAAGGCACTTCTGCAAATTTTTGAATCATAGAAATGTCTTTGTAATGCAGCAATACGGTTTTCAAGAAAAAAAGTCAACAGAACTGGCGTTACTTAGTATCAAAGAAAATTAATCAACATTTTAAAAATAAACTATTTACCCCTGGAATATTTTTAGACTAGAAAAGCGTTTGATTTCACTAAGCATGATATATTGTTTGAGAAACTACCGTTTTATAGAATTCGAGGTGTTGGTACGTACGTAGTTACTTATCTTGCCGGTCACAATATACGTGTTTTAATGGATACCGGTACCAAGCCAGAACAAATTTCGCATGGGGTTCCACAGCGGGTTATTTTAGGTCCTCTGTTTTTTTATTATTTCTATTAATGATATTGTACCTATCCTAAATACTCCTGAAATAGTTTTTGTATGCCGACGATAAGAGCTTTTTTTTTCTCGTCCATTTTTACGTCAGCTAGAAGTTACGGTTCACTCATGGCTCAACGAGTTATCGGACTGGCTTGACCACAATCACCTTCAGTTAAACGTTACGAAAACAAAATATGGAAGTTTTAAGCCACGAGGTAAACCTGACGATTGTGAAATTGTTTTTAAAAATTCCAAGACTCGGTGATCGAGCGTGTAATCGTTTATGAGTTGTTAGGAGAAATTTAAGCTGGACACCTCATATAAATAAAATGCATGCAAGCAGCTTGAGATCTATTGGTATTTTATACAAAATTAGATAGCTGGTTCCATGCTGGTTAAACCATCAGTTGCACTATGCGTTAGTTACTTTCATCTCCATTACTGTTTATTAGTTTTCTTGTTCAACAGCAACAAAAATATTGATAGGTTGTTTCTTTTGCAAAAGCTATACGTTGAACAGAAAACCTTGAGCATACTGTCCACACAGCACCATTCTTTTGGAGCGCAGATCTTAGCCGCCCGTTTCTGGCTTGAGCAGCGTCGGCGTAACCGTGAGATGACGTGACCCCCGTGAGGTCACGTGACAGCAGTGACATCACTTGACCTCCGTGAGGTCACGTGACACTGGTGACGTCACGTGACCTTCGTGATGTCACGTAACCCCCGTGAGGTGAGGTGACTCGGTGAAGTCACGTGATCCCCATGAGGTCACGTGACTCCAGTAAGTTCACGTGGCCCCGACGACGTCACGTCACCCTTGTGAGGTAACATGACCCCGTGAGGTCACCAGGGTCACGTGACCTCACGGTGACGCCGAAGGCACCGCCGTCGCAGTCGCCATTGGCGTAACTCTGAGCAGTAGCAGGCAGGATGAGGAGGTTAGGAGGAGGGGGGAGTATACGCTCCCCTCAGTACCCTTCCCTCCTTCTCCTCAAGAGCTGCGCTCTAATTCGGTTTTACAGGGAGTTGCACACTCTAAAAAAATTCCGTGAGTGAACTTTACCGCAAAACACTCGGAGAACCAATCAGCGCTACTTATGCAGAAGGCTCAGCGAATGATGATACCGCAGCATATGTTTCGACCAAAAAAGGCAGTCCGAGTTGTGACATTAAGCAAGCAAGCCTGACGTTTTGCATTGATTAATGTCACAACTCGGACAGCGTTTTAGGTCTAAAAATATGTTTTGGCATCGTCATTCGCTGAGCTGCCTCCGCAAGTTGCGGTGATTGGCGCTTCGTGTGTTGTGCGGGAAAGTAGAGGTACGGGCGTTTCTTAGGGAGGAAGCGGCTTTCGGATTTTAAACACAGTTTTCTTACCACTAAAAATAATAAGAGACTTCAACTGTTTTTTGACGCACATCTTCCTAGTAATACACAATGCAATCTTCGACACGGCTCCTATAAAGTAACTTGGTCTAAGACGAACTATGGACATTCACCAGTTAGCATACTTGATACCTGATTTCTTAAATAAAACACCAGCCGTTAGGAAAACAATCTGAGGTTGTAGAACAAAACGCAGCTTTAAAATTAGTCTACAGCGGGACCTTGTCTCATGTCATGTTGAGTAAATACTTTTAGGTTATATTTTCATTGTGTATGAGTTGAATTACCTGCCTCATTTATTTCCAAAGTATTAAGTGCACTGACGATTGTATAAGCATTGTACAAAACATGCTGTGTTGATTGTTGCTGATGTGCTATTTTATCTTCTTGTAATCTTTAATGATTATTGTTGTTTTTTTCGCCTGCTGAGCATTGTAAACGGGTGATAGGCCCGCGTCAGGCGGAGCTAATCTGCCTTTTGTCCTGTTACCATAGGCCTAGTGTCTCCATAAAGCCAATTCAATTCGATTAATTGGAAATGAAAGGAACGTGTTACAGTTACCGATATAAACTAACGCACGTTATCTTGGCTTTTCTTTTTTAGTTATGAATTGATATGTTTTGATGATTTCACGTTACAGGTGTACTTAATCGCCATATTTCTAGTAACATTATGTCCATGCAGACACTGAACATAAGTACTTTATCTTTTTATGGCTTCACCCAAATATTCACAAAAAATGCAAAGAAAAACGCAAACAAATCACTTAGCTTCGCGCCTTGAAGCACGAAAGAATATTTGTGTAATTTTGTTTAAACTTTTAGGAAGTAAAAGTAACTAGTAACGTAAGTACATTACCCGTTACTGTTTTGAAAAGAAGTAACGAGTACGTTACGTGTTACCGAAAATAAGTAACGCGTTACCGGTAACGTCGTCACTTGTAACGCGTTACCCCAACGCTGGCGCTGAGTCATAAACTCAAGAAAAGAACGTTGCACTCCGAAGTAGAACACGGCCCAATCAACAGTGAGACATCAGTCAGGGATGATGTCCGGCTTTTTATAAAGGAAACAGAGAGAAGAAAAGCGCTTTTACCTTGAAGGTTACATATGTCACAAACAGCGGCACAAAGCAAACGGAATGGTTTCGTCTCGTTGCCGTTACAATTCATTAGGATACGCGGCTACGATATTGACTGAAGAGGACACCGTGAAAAGCAGATCCCGTAAGTTGCTATATTCGATTTCTGCTTGTCGGTCTCTTTATGCATGATAGAAACCACTGCTATTTATATCGTTTCTTACTTACTCTTATTAGCGCCACCAGGTGCATGCTTAAGGACCATTAACATGCCATTGCACATTTACGCTCCTTTTACTTATGGGCGACCATAACCATGCAACAGGCGAGCCGAGGCTTGTGAGGGACCAGCTGCGCTTGGTGCTGAAAACGTCAGCA